TAGTCTGTTCCAATAGCAGTCCGGTTTACAGGATTTAGTCAGAACTTACAGGAAGTCGTTCCTATTGACATAAAACCTGTAAGTGGGAACACATTTGAGAGAGTAACTGAGCAACTGTTCCTAGTCAGAAGTTACAGGATTTAGTCCGGAGTTTTTTTTCCTGTAAGTTCATGAAAAGTGTCAAACGATCAGCTGATTTACATGTGCAAACAAAAACAGAAAGCGGTGAAAGCAAAGAACCTTATATTTGTTAAAAAACGGAAGTAAACAACGAAATATTTGAATATGTATAGATTTTAATAATTATTTAGTGATATTTCAGCCAAATCAGTGTAGTACCAATGACATGTAAACAAACCGTTTGACGTTTTTACAGGAAATAGTGCTTTTTGCGTTCCTATGCACTTCTTAATCTGTTCTCCTTTTACTCTCATTTGAGAGAGTAAAATTGTAGTTTGACAGTTCCACAGGTTTTAGTCCGAAGTTCAAAGGAACAGACTAAATATGTATAAACATTGAGGTTGTTTCGCCGCTGTCGCGTACTCAGCAGGCCATAACAACAACACTGACAATTGTCACCATTCGAGAGTTTAAAATAAATTTGCGGCATAGTATTAGGCGCAGTAGTAAAGGCAATAGTCAGCTGCTGAGTTTTGTCAGTGTTGTGGGAATAGGGCGGTTATTCGCATTATCAGAAAATGAATAAACGTTGGTCATTAATAAAACATTAAAAAACCAACATTTCATTGTATACTAGGGTCCTTTTCCATATGTATCAAATTAATGCACAACGTAATTTGTGCTACAAAAAACTTCCAATGGATGGGGGCTAAATTCATTTATGGCTACGGTGGCCATATTTTAAAAATAAAAATACAGTACAAGCCAAGCCGAACTTGTACAAGGTGAAAGCGGCAGCGCAAAAACAAAAAACTACTCTAACAAATTATACGCAGGATGAATTTCAGAACACAAAAAATTAACAACAAACACATCAATTTGACAATCAGCACAATTCGCCTTGAAATCAGCTGCTAGGATAACAAGTTTTCATTACGTACCAAGGCACATTGAACAGGTAGTATCGAAAATGTCAAATATTTTTTAATTTATTCTCAGAAAAATTTTAAATTATTAAAATCTATTTGCATGTGAAACGTTTTTTCATACAAAACTAGCGATTGAATAACAGCTTTTGGAACGTTCACCCAACTCCGCAGCCCTCCTGATGTCGCCCGAACACCATCTTCACGGCGAGGCGCAAATGCTCCCCGTAAAGGAGCACAATATAATGCTCTGCAAGCAGTTCCTGATCGGGAGCCACAGAAGTGGCCACCCAAACAGACAGCTGCTTGCAGAGGAGCCCTCGCCTAGGCACGTCAGGAGGCATCTATATGAACTGACGGCCATAGTCAGAGGTTCATCAAGCAACCTCTGAACCCGACAGCTTACCGACAGGCTCTGAACGGCATTCACAGGGAGTCAGTCTCGAGTTATGTAGACTCTAGACCTGTGAATGCCGTTCTAGGCATACCACCCCCAGACGAGACGGAGCTTCATCTGCCTCGGGAGACTCGCACAACACTAGCACAACTTCGCTCCGGCTACTGCAGCAGGTTAAACTCGTACCTTAGTAGATTGAATGAGGAAGTGCCGAATGAGTGTCCGGCATGCGGAGAGACCCCACATGACTCGAAACATCTCTTCGCATGCCCGGAAAACCCGACAACCCTAACGGCCTTGTCCCTGTGGACCAACCCCACAGAAGCTGCACGCTTCCTAGGGTTGCCGTTAGTGGAACTTGACGACAACGACTGAGATACCAACCGTCCTGGGCGGGGTTGTTGTAGCCGCTACAACAACAACCCCCTTGTGGAGTGCTCCTATTGACTCTGCACTGAGTGCAGACGCCCCCACTCCGCCGCGACAGTTCTGTCACGAAGTGAGCTGTAGATTAGCCTTATTAAGTAGGTTTAAACGCGAAATTTTTAATGGTTTGAACGAATTTATCGCCCAGGCCATGCGACGATGATCCAGAAGATCGGAGAAGTACAAAATATCGCAAAGAAGTACATTTGACTGTACTTCGAAGTACAAAGTACAAGAGCGAAAAAAGAAGAAGTACTATACTTCCGAAAGAAGTACGGTTGGTCACATTAAGTATACAGTAAAAACGCAGACAACATCCGGATTTACTTTTTAACATGTACATTTCGAAGTAATTGGCAACTTTGCTTCAATGTTTTTAACAATTCGATAATTGAATCCGAACTCCTAGCTTCATATATGGATTCAGTGATAGAGTTTTCGTAGATTTTACGAAAAATCAGACCACAATGGACTCAGCGGTGTTTAGCTTGGCTAGTGATTAAAGTGAATAATCGGGGAAACTTTCCATTATGGCCGTTCGTTAAAGGTGCCGTGGGCGAAGGGGGAGTGGGCGTGGCACCTCTAACCGACCCTTTTGGAGAGGGCATGAACCGCCATTGGCAAAAATGCAACCCCCAACCACCTAGGCCCCTTATGGTTCCCTACGGACCCCTTAGAAAAATGGCCAAAAATCGCAATTTTTACTTGCGTCCACAGTATTTTTGCGTAGAATTCCTTTCTGCGTAGGCGGCCTTCGGCCGCGCTTAGGGATTACATATAACCCTTACTACGTAGAATTCTCCTTTCTGCGTGATCTAACTGGGGCTACCGCCCCAGTGATGTAACCTTGGGAAAGGATGAGGTAACTAGAATTCCCTTTCTGTGTGGTAAACCTGAGGCTGCCGCCCCAGTGATGTCTATTTTGGGTACTGGGTGTTTTATAAAAATGTCTTGTATATAAAAATGTCTTGTATATAAAAATGTGTATATAAAAATGTATTGTGCAAATTAATATTTAACATTTTTCAAGTGAGTAAACGCAAATGAAAATTGAGATTTTTGGCAATTTTTCTAAGGGGTCCCTAGCGAACCATAGGGGAGTTACGTGGTCGGGGGTTGCATTTTTGTCAATGGCGGTTCATTCCCTCTCCAAAAAGGTGGGTTAAAGGCGCCACGCCCACTTACCTTTCGCCCACCGCCCCTTTAACGAACGGCCATAAAGGAAAGCCAACCCGAGTAATCTCTTAGTTATTTGAAGCCATTACATTTACTATTTAACAAATTATGAAGTTTAAATACAAAACTTTTATTAATAAAAAAAGAATATCGCTCATTTACTTCAATAGTTACTAACTCAAAAAAAAAATATACAAAACTGGGGAAAACGACTTTAAAATGTTTGATTTTACATACATACACTTGTGATCAGCTAATTAAGCCAGCATCATCATTTTGATCAATTTCGGCTATTTTACTTTCGTAAATTTGTGCAAAAATTATGAAAAATCTGCAAAATTTCAGCTAAATATTCAACTTTTTATTCAGATTTTTTGATATATAATTTTTTTTTTTCTGACTGCATACAAATTTTTTTTTCCATACAAAATAAATTCGATAAATGCGTCATGAAGTCAGAAAAAAAAATATTAAAAACCAACGCGATTTTTTAGCAACTTAAGACTTGCACATTATTACCCTAGAATTTAATGGGCTATTAAACTGCATACTCGAAAAATTCTATATCTGAAAATCTGAATAAAAAGTTGAAAATCTAGCTGAAACTTAGCAGATTTTTCATAATTTTTACACAAAGTTTGAAATCTGGATTTATGTGATGTTTGTTATATAATGAGCTAGACTTTTATCGAAAAATAATAAACATTAAATAAACAAAAGAAAAATAGCCAAAATTGATCAAAATGTTGCTGGCTTAATTAGCTGATCATAAGTGTATATCACTACTACTTCTGTTTTTACACGGTAGATACGCTCCAGACAAAACCGTTTAAAAACTTAAACATTAAGTATACAATACAATACAAATAAAAAAAAAACAAAAGGTACATAATCCAGTTCTTAACTAATTTTTTGTTTATTTATTTTTTATTTTTTGTTTAAGCGTTAAGAAAATTACTCATTCAGGTAATAAGAAAACGACTCGCCCAAGCAAGTTGAATTCGGCGGACGTTTTAGAGCGAGGTAATAGGAAATCGATACGATCGCAATATTACCGGCAATAAATTTGTTTCCGAGTGGGAAACGTTTTCTTATTGCCGGCAACAAAAATTGTTTGGTGGGTGCCTACACATAAATACGAGTCTAACTTACAGAAATGTTGGTGCAAGTTCTTCAATTGGCAGTTGCCAAACTTATCACATCGACAATCTTTCTGAAGTCGCCGTATGTGTGGCTACTATAATAAAGATCACTTATAAGTTCTACTTGCGGGAACGTCAGCAGGGCATCACAATTTTGTAAAACCACAACGCTAAATACTTCGGATTGTATTGTTGGTGGCAGGTGGTAAGCTATAAGTCCTTGTTTTGATCTATCGTCTTTTAAGCAATCCATCAAATTGAGCAAAATTGAAATGCACTGAACCAAAGTTTGTAAATATGAAAAGTCTGCATTCAGTTTAGATATGTCTTGAGCAAAAGATGTCACAAAGGTATATAGATCTATTACAATTATGTTGGGCTTCACCCTCCAGGCATGCAAGTCCAATAACTTCTTTACTGCTGCACCAACATTTTCGCAACAACTGAAAAAAAAAAACAATTACGTATGAAAACATTTATTATTATTTTTACCATTGTGGATACCAACATAAAAATTAACCGCTGCAATGCCTGCTTGTTTTTGTACACCTCTATTCCGAGTCTTTTGGCCAGTGGTAGCAATTCCGGGGTGGACCCACAATGTGTAAGCACAGCGACGGTTTTGCCGGCTGAAGCCAATAGCATCAGTTCCTAAAACAATAAAAACAATTTAAAATTAAATCAAGTATTACATAGATATTACCTACACCGTACATTTCTTCAGCATAATCCCTACCATTTGGTAAAAATAGCAAGTTTTTTACATTTATTCGGGGGAAATTCATTTCGTTTTGAAAATAAACGAAAACCCATGATCTCAGTATATCCAGTAAAAAAACTGTGGTGAAGTCCTTTATGGGGATCGCTTTGTTTTGTTTTGTTGTCAAATTTCTGAGAAATGTGAATTCACCACGATGCGATACAGAAAGAACAAGGACCAGGGATGTAATTTTAAGTAAATCTATTATTCAGTGGCAAGGCGCAGAGCGTTCGGGGCAGCAATATTAATTTGTATCAAATATAACATTAAACGGTGGTTCTAATACATTTTTTGATATTATTAACCAGAGTACATACATTATATGGTATTTCATTCAAAAATTAATGTACTATATGAACTTTTTTTCAAATATTTCTTAAGTTTCTTTCATGAGTGCTGAAAAGCAACCATGCGTGTAAGAAATTGTGTGCTACCTAAAATTTCACCTCTGGAAACTTTA